TTGGGGGTCCATCTTAAAAGGTCAACCTTATTAAGAGGAGTAGCCCAAAATCTTTATTAATTGGTCTGTGTCAACATCTTTATTCGATGTGGGATTATATCCCTTAACACGCCCCCGCAAGATGGTGACTCATTTGAGCAGACCAATCTTGAAATCCACGTGCTCATTTTAGAGTCTTAACGGGATCGAATCCCACATTGCTTGGGAAAATATAAATGATCCACTTAATGGTTTTATTAGGTGGAGTTAGGCCCAATATTCCTAACAATCTTCATGCACTTGGAAGAAGATTAGAGATTGGTTGGGGATTAGGAGATTGATGACGACAATATCTAGCACATTGAAGTGGATTGAGAAGAAAGCCCAAGACACTTCTTGGCAAAGCAAAGCCAAGAAAATTGCTCTTGCTTGCACCATCTACCAAATTTGGGCAGTGAGAAATAGAAAGATTTTTGAAGATCTGAGACCGCATTCCGAGAGCATTGTGAGACGGATCAAAACACATGCATACAAAGTTATGTTTTCCTTGTGTTATCATGTTTTGATTCATTTTTAGTTTTAACTTTGGGTCTTTAAATCTTATCGCTAGTACAACTTTTGATTTGTAAGCCCCCAAGTATGTCTGGAGTACTTGTACATGAGTTTTTGATCAATATAATTTTGCATTTACTGATAATTAAAAAAAAAAGGTGCATAGAAGATAACACACACATATACACTCTCCCCACCTCCAAATAAGAAAAACAATATTCTCAATGATAAAAAAGTCAGCAGAAAAACAAATTCTCTCACCAAGCATACTAGCATAGTTTAACCTAGAGATATTTCAATGAACAAGCCAAAAAATCAAGAAAAATATATGTATAAACCATTCATGGTAAAATCAAGTGATTCTCATTTATCCACACTTCATAGCACAAAATTTTCTTCTTTTTTTTTTTTTCCATAAAAGTAAACCAATCCTAATTTTAACAATGCCTCTCCGTAAGTCCAGATCTCAGGATGACAACTAACAAAGTACACCCCAAGTTGGTACAATATCATAAAATCGTGTTTAAAGATACACCTCTAAAGATATTTAACCACGTTTGTTTTTGTTTCCTAATGGAGTATCTCATTAATTTTGCTTCCCAGATACCTCTCATCAAGGTTTTTCAATCATATCTAGAAACTCCAGAATTGGAATTGCTGAAATGTGAAGTCAATTCAGAAATGGGCAAGGAAGAAATGTACAACGAAAACACATTTTGCGAAGAAATGTCCTCTAGGAACTTAACAAATGTAGTCCCCCTCTAACTTTACCCAGAATTTATATTAACTTGTGCCATTTAACTGTTTAACCTAACGAAGTCAGGCACATAAATAAAGTCAACACCAAGGACATTCAAGTTTCGTATAAACATAAGAAACCTAAAAGACTAAAAACATGTTTTTATACATAAATCTTAATTATACCTGCTAAATAAGGATATGAAGAAAATGTCTATCATTGCCTTTGAATCACTTCAAAAGAGACAAAACTGGTGCAAAGAGGGTGAGTGTCACAGTTAATTATAAATGTAAGGGTAATAGATAACATTACATGAAATGTCCCCCGTTCCCCAGCGTTCCAGTTTGATTCCAAGAAATTCTTCTGATTTTTGTTCTTTTGAGAGAAATTCAGCTAATTCTTTTCTGCGATATCCCTTCAGAGAAGATGCAGATTATGAAATGCTAATAGGGAAAACCATAACTCTGATGTTGAGCGAACCTCTTTGCGATGATCAGAACTGCCGCCACCAACGTGTCCTGTCTTTGTGATAGAAAATGAGTTATTTAAACAGATGGTGCTCAGAGTATTGGAATTGTTAAGGAAAATCCCATTCCTAACTCTAATTCCATTCTCTAAGATTTTACTAGGCTGAAATTCCATTATCCCAATTGTTGGTGGCATGTTCACATGGTCACAGTTGATTGATACTCTCCCCAGCTAACTTTTGGTAGGATCTCATGGAATGATTCTCAACAGATGTCCGTACTTGTATGTATTCAGCATCTTGAGTTTAATAAGAAGTGAAATGTCCACTGCATGCTCTAAACATGATAATTTTGTGGTGATGTGACCAGGGGCGGAGCCAGCCTTTCAACTAGGGGGGTCCCGGAGTTGAAGGGGCGGCCCCCAAATTTTTTTTTTTTAAACATTATC